CTCCCCCACACCCTTTCCTCAACACCCTCCACCATGCAACACAAACACCCACCCTCACCCCCTCCCTCACCCCCTCGCCCACCCTTCCCCCTCACCCTCCCCATGCAACACAAACACCCACCCTCACCCCTTCCCTCACTTCCTTGTCCACCCCCTCCCTCACCCCTCCCTCACATACTCGCCCACCCCTTTCCCCCTCACCCTCCCCATGCAACACAAACACCCACCCTCACCCCTTCCCTCACTTTCCTTGCCCACCCCCTCCCTCGCCCTCCCTCTCCCTCACCACCTCCCCCACCTTTCCCCTCACCCCCTCACCCATGCAACCCCTACTCACCCCTTCCCCCTCCCCTCCCCCACCCCACGCCACACAGACACCCCTACCCACCCCCCCCTCACCCCTTTCCCCTCGCCCCTCCCTCACCCTTACCCCCTCGCCCTCCCCCACGCAACCCTACTCACCCCTTTCCTCCTCGCCCTCCCCCCCCCCATGCAACCCTACTCTCCCCTTTCCCTCACCCCCTCGCCCCCATGCAACCCCTACTCACCCCTTTCCCCCTCCCCCCACCCCCTCGCCCCCCCCATACAACCCCTACTCACCCCCTTCCCTTCCCCGCGCAGGTGAACGAGGGCGAGGTCGTGTCCTGGGTCAAGGTGTCCCTCATGAACCAGCGTCGGGCGGTCAAGACGAAGAAGACAGCTGTTGTGGCGGCGAACGACGAGCCCCAGTACAACGAGTCCTTTCACTTCAGACCCCCGCCCGCCCTCGAGGGGGTCCACATCACCCTCCAGCTGTACGTGGCGTCGAGCTCCAACTCTAAAGGTCAGTTCGAGTCCGAGGTGTCAGGTTGTGGTCATGTTAGTTCATGACGGAGGGTTGGGTTGTGTCGATAATCAGTTCATTTCAAAGGGTTAAATGGTACCCAAAAGGTTCGTTCATGTCAAAGGATTAGCGTAAAAAAAATGTTCATGTCAAGAAGGTTCGTTCATGTCAAAGGATTAGCTTTAAAAAAAACCTTCATGTCAAAAGTTCAGTTCATAAAGATTAGCGTAAAAAAATGTTCATGTCAAAAGGTTCGTTCATGTCAAAGGATTATTTAATGGGGTAAAGGTTAGTTTTAAGGTCGGTTCAGATCAAAGGGTCAATTAGTGTAAAAAAGTCAGTTTCATTGTCTTAAGGTCAGGTCACCTCCAAATTTTATTAAATTATGAGTTTGATCGGAAAATGAATTCACCTTTTTGAATATACAATATCGTTGACACCGAGTTCGAAATTTGTTTGTAACGGTCATTGGCTAATGAGTTTTTCTTATAAAAGAAAATTGCTATGAAGTTTTGACATTTATTATATTGATACGCCATGCACTATCATACTCCTTCAGCCAATGGAATATAACTTATATTAAACCAATTTCATATTCTTTCAACCAAATTTTCATACTTCTCTTTTTCAAACACGTTGCACATATGCATGAAATAAAGTACTTTGCTTTCAACCTCGGAAAATTTCACTCTACTTATTTTAGAGATAATACATGGTCTCGTAATGTTATCAATGCTGTAGATCTGTAAGATACTTTTCAGACCATTAAGACACATTTCCGACCTCTAAGACACATTTTAGATCTACGACACATTTCAGATCTCGTAGACAAATAGGTTTGCAAGGCACATTTCATACTTATAAGACAGTTTCATATATTTAGGTCAACTTTCAGATCTTTGTCAACTTTTAGATCTTTGTCAATTTCAGATCTTCAGATCTTAGTCAACTTTCAGATCTTTGTCACCATTCAGATCTTTAAGTCACCTTTCATATCTTTAAGTCACCATTCAGATCTTTAAGTCAACTTTTAGATCTTTAAGTCACCATTCAGATCTTTAAGCCAACTTTCAGATCTTTAAGTCACCATTCAGATCTTTAAGTCAACTTTTAGATCTTCTTTGTCACCATTCAGATCTTTAAGTCAACTTTTAGATCTTTGTCACCATTCAGATCCCTTTAAGTCAAACGTTTAGATCTTTGTCACCATTCAGATCTTTAAGTCAACTTTCATATCTTTAAGTCACCATTCAGATCTGTGTCCCCATTCAGATCTTTGTCAACTTTCATATCTTTAAGTCACCATTCAGATCTTTGTCACCATTCAGATCTTTGTCAACTTCAATATCTTTAAGTCACCATTCAGATCTTTGTCACCATTCAGATCTTTGTCAACTTTCATATCTTTGTCACCATTCAGATCTTTGTCACCATTCAGATCTTTTAAGTCAACTTCATTCTTTAGTCACCATTCAATCTTTGTCAACTTTCATATCTTAAGTCACCATTCAGATCTTTAAGTCACTTTTTAAATATTTATGACACATTTCTGATCTACGAAGCCTTTCGAGTCTTTCCCTAAATGAGCTTGACTTCCCAACAGGTCGTCTCGTGGGTCGTGTGACCATCGGGTCCTTCATGTTCGCACGAGGTCGAGCCCTAAACCACTGGAATGAGGTCCTCTCGACGCCCAAGGAACCTATACAGTTCTGGCACTCCCTCACGGAGTAGTCCTGACAGCTGGCACTCTCTCATGGAGTAGTAATGTTAGGTCTCAAAGTATTGTTATTGTTCTAAAGTGTGGAAAATGACCCCCAAAAGGTATTGAGTAATTTCATCTCTAACAACATCTAGTCACTCTTCTTCAGTAACTGTCACACGGTAGTTTTATTTTGACTATTTTTTTTTTTTTAAATAACGATACATACAACATACTTCAAAGAAAACTATGGTTATATTAACACTGGCGTGAACGAAATGCAGATAACATTAACAGTAACCCTTTCATATGACAACACCAGCAATAAAGACAATATTTACTTCTGTCTAATGATTGCCACTGAATGTTTTGCTACGAAGGACAATATAATTTAACAAATTCTGTTAAATTGTATGAAAAAAGTCTGTTCACATATAGTTCTTCCATGCTGGTTAAACTGTCTGAAGGCAGTTCTTTATTCTATGTTCTCACGGCCTTTATACCATTAAATATGACATATTCACTCTCTGAACACACAGACCAACATTGGCATCTTCACAGGCTTGGTAACACTTCGCTGTGTAAGATACCCAAAAGGCATACAGGTGTGATGCAGACTTGGCGATACTACGGCTGAGCATATATGCGTAAAAGCTTGGCATCCTTCGTATCATTCGTTGTAGTAACGCCGTGCACAGTTTCTCCATGAATATTTGACACTGCTCTGTGGAATAAATTTTGATAGGCAAGGTCATAGGATGCAAAAAGACACTACCTTCTACCTCCAGGATATGAAACGAATAGACATTATTTAGCATACTTCTCCCACGCCAAGGATTTTTCTTTTAGTATATCCTATCTGAAGAACAATACACGTTATGAATTTTATGTTATTGAAAGAGGACAATATAAATGTAAAAAAAGTGACCTGTAAGAAATAGCCATAAGAAAACAGACGCCACTGTCTCCAGAAACAAAATGGCTCACTGATTTATAAATAATGTATGCTCTCAGTATATAGATACTGTTGGCCGCCGAATATGCAGGGAAATTAAACCTATTACCTAAGAGAACTAGATACTCTTATATCCTCCTAAAGCTGTAGGTGCTTTCTTTGCTTCAATTAGAACCAACTGTATCTGGTATCTATACTCGTATCAGGTGTTATTAGTAGCTAAACAGATACTTCCGCCTTCGTCTCTCTCTCAAGACCTGTTTTCAAGAACCGCCTGTTAGTAGAAGCACCTGTGGCTGCCGGAAGTAGCAGCCTGGTAGTAAGCGGCAGTTACTCACATTTCTGCTAGATATCGAAGCATCTCTGTCGAGTAGTTTTAGAAGTTTTGTCCTAGGGAAAGGATGTGTTATCTGTCTTGACAAATCTAGAGGGACTGATAACGGCCTACAGATTACCGCATCACTTGGTGCTAGTATCCTTGTCTGATAGTCTAGATAACAGGGTTCTCTTCCTATTCTAATAACATCCACGTTCTAAACAGATATCTTACCGACCTCGATAAGTCTCTCGGTGATGATGACGTCACCGTCTTCAAAGCGACCCTCCTGCCATCTAGTGACGACGTTGCCAGTTAGGGATATCGATACACGATAATGATTGATAACTTCAGCCTAGCAATTCTCAGGAAGTCCCATTAATCAGAGATAAAGTACAGTTTTATAGACAACAACATGTTACGAAGACGAAAAAAAAAGTAATGATATAACGATAAACATTACTGAGATGAGTGACAATACAGATTCACGTTGATTGTAAAAAAATATAAACTAAAAATGAGGAAGAAGAAGAAGCACCATTTAGGCCGACGCGTTGGAGGGACGAGAAGGACAGTCTTGAGACACCGGATTGGTTGGCAGCCTTTCGCCTTCCTTTGAGTGTTGTGTATATATATATATATATATATATATATATATATATATATATATATATATATTATATATATATATATATATTATAATATAAATGTATATATATATGATAAATTATATATATACAATATATAATAATAGTATATATTTAAAATTATATATACATATGTATACATATATATCATATATATATTTATAAATATTTAATATATGTATATATATATAAATATAAATATATATATACATAAACATATACATACACATATGTATATACATAATGTATGCATTCACGACACACACACACACACACACAACACACAACACACACACACACACACACACACACACACACACACACACACACACACACGCACACACACACACACACACACACACACACACACACACACACACACACACACACACACACACAATATATTATATATATATATATATATATATAAATATATATATATATATATATTATAATATATATATAATACATATATATATATTAAACCATATATATATATATATATATATATAATATATATATATATTATATAAACACATTACGCAAACATACATACAAAC